TATAACCACGTGCGTGTAATTCTTTGGACAGACCCCACAGCAAATGGGTCGCATATAGATAAAATCTAGCGTGTTATTAGCCTCCTGCGAGATGTCCTTTGCACTCGCCAGGAAATCGTTTTTAGAAAAGTGAATTTGCTTAAATTTAAAAGTCGAATTTATAACAGCGATCCTAATGAAAAACAGTTGAACCACGCTATTCCAAACTCTCAGGGGAAACGAAAAATAGTTCGAAATAACGGGAGTTTGAAATAACCGATTGTAAATGATTAAAGGGCAAATCCAAGAGAAATGGTTGTAAAAGTTCGAAATAACAGGGACTTCCAAAAAATCGTGTTCGAATATAGCGGGGTCCAACTGTAAATGTACTTAAGCAGTGTAATGCTTGGAGAAAGGACAAGCAACATACAATTTGTTTCCACGTATTCTTGCCCCATCTGATATTCGAATAGTCCTACTAAGCAAAAACGCGCGGGAAAAAGCTGGCGCGCGGCAATTTTTTTCACCGCAGACTGTTTACATTTAAATTTTTTTACATGCCAAACGTTGCCCACCCCGTCACGGTGTGCTGGTGCTGGTGCAGGTGCATTAAGCAGATTTCTTTTCACAAAATACTGAATTCCACGTCCATTTTTTCCACTTCGTTCAATTTTCCCCTCTGGTTTTTACTTCTGCCGCGACAATTCATAATAACACGAGAAATTGCTCGCAGTCTTGAAAATAACGCGTTTTGCTCCCAGTTTATCAATAACTAACTTCAATTTTCATTTGTCCAAAGTCCTTTCAGTGGAGTCTTTGCAAATTGTCCTTCCAGTTCCAAAACAGTGTTTCTAATGTCCGCGTGAATTTCATTCACATCTTTCATGGCATCAACAACCTGACAACAAACAAGAAGAGCAAGTTTAAGAACAACGTCCAGAAATCACGAGGGGAGTAGCCTGTGTTGCAGGCGGGGACGGATAGGGGGAAACTACATGTAGAAGCCTTTGAACACCTGTCACGCAGACTACGAGGGGAGGTACGGCAAGTTTCCTTGGTCGGAAAGCTAGTCCAAACAAGTACTCCCTTTTCTCAGGTCACAAATAGAAATGTTTGGTTGTGTGAGAAAAGAGTTAGGGGAGGGTGTTAACCTGCGATAGCTTGACTTGTACGTGGGAGTTTCATATCAATATAATTTTATACCGCGTTTACATGAAAAGACACCTTTTCTTCACCCCATGTCCAACTTGGCTCACGTGAAGCCAGTTGGCACACGTGTGCGTTACCCGTTCCAGTCTGCCGACGGAGGTACACCAACATGGCGTTTTCATACTGCCCACCGAGACAGCTTCCTGAAACGAGCTGTTGTTTGTCGTTTACTTGAGACCAGTGCCAGTTTTCGTACACAAACGAAAATTATCTCGACCAGGGAACAGCGATGGGACTCAACTAGCCACGTTATAACTCGTTCTGGCGCAACATTTTGTGTTGGTGTCATGTAAACGAATGCAGAACCACAAGAGGGAACCAGGAGGAACTCGTATCGGTATAGAAGTCATACAGGACTCAACCTAACAACCCTTTAACAAACAACAAGAGCCCAAATATCCGTATTTTCCCTTTCTTTATCACGCCTATCTAATACGCTTTTTCTTTCGCACAGTCTGAAGTCTGTAACTGTAACTTAAATCTGTCTTGGCATTTTCTTTTTTTAGTGAAATATTATTCTGTGGTGCTTTTGAATTAGAGATCTTTTGTACCACCATTCTGTGGTAAAAGTATTTCAGTCAGTAGATAAGACTCTGAAGAAAGACAATTGAACGGGGAGAATTTTCTTTTCTGATTGAGTCTGCAAAGTGCATTTCATACCTCTTGCTAACGGAATTCGAGGACCCAGTTTTTTTCCCCATCGATTTATGGCCCACGAAAGCGCGAAGCGAGCGGGCCATAAATCGACGGATAAAAAAAACGAGGATCCGAAATTTACAGTACGCACCGAGAAGACGAGATTTGTGAGATATTTATTATATCTCTACTGTGTGCCTGGCGGGTTCGAGAACGATTTCTATTCACGCGGAACGGCTTCAAATTTCTGAAGCACCTCGAAAGCAAAACGAGCCAATTTAAAATCGTTTTTAAGACGTAGCACGCTTTAATACACAATTTAGAGTAAAAGAAAGTTTTGAACTTTAACTTGCTACAAAAGGTAAGAACACTTGGCAATAAATCACAGACCAGTTTGGCAACAAAAACAACTTTAAATTTTAGCGAGCCCTACAGGAGAATACGGCCCGCTAAACTGACCAATCACAGCGCGAGTACTGACTGAGAGACATAATAAATAAACAACAGACTCCATTTGGCGCGAAAATATGCTAGGATATTTGTCCGCTGACATTACCTGTTCCGAGAAGCGAACAGTTTTCCGAGAGTAGCTCGAGGAAAACTGTGAGCTTCGAGGATCAGATAATGTCCAAGGACAAATATCCGAGCATATTTTGGCGCCAAATGGAGGCTATTGTGTTTATATTCATTCAAACGAGAAGAATTCGTATTTATATTCCTTCAACACGAGGCGAGTGATTTACGAATTCTTCGACTGTTCTTCCAACATCCCAAGTGGTTTATCATGCCTCCAAACCATAAAAACTTGTGGTCTATTGCTTTTATATAATAATTCAGAAGACACACGAAATTTCCATGTGTTTACTGGCACAATAAATCATAGCTGATTGACCAATCAGAGCGCGTGCATTCATTTAATCATTATATAATGAGCAATATCCCCCAGTTTTCAAAAATTGCATTTTACGTTGACGCAATCAATTTCTCTCTGATAAATTGCCTACTGAGAAGAACTGAATGTTATGAGACTTGCATGATTTTTGAATGTTGACAAAATTGCATTCCGCTTGACCATAGAGAGACCAAGTGTGAACATACATTTGTATTTCATGGATTATGAACACAACTTATGACCCATCAAATATTTTTCACACATGCAACTGGTCTATATATGTCAGGTAGGAAATATTCAATGATATTCCCCCAGATATAATCTTCATTTTCCAACATTTTTATATATTGTAAGCAGATTAGTACAATAATATTCTTGAATGCCAACATAATTATTTTCACATTTCACATCTTGAAAAGGAGGTCTCCCAAAAAGATGGACTTGTACAGACATCTCAGAAGGATAGCAAACTCAAAGATGTCCTTGTATCTTATTATAAGTAGACTAAGAATTGTGCCGTATCTAACATAGAGTAAATATTGTACCGTACTGTAAGTAGAGAGCATTGTATCCTATTGTAGCTAAAGTAAATATTGTTCCATGCTGTAAGTTGAGTAAAATATTGTATTGTATAGTAAGTAGAGTAAGTATTGTGTCATACTGTATGTAGAGTTAGTATAAGTATTGTTTCTACAAGTAAAGTATTGTAAAAAAGGTAGCAAATTGCAGAAAATAGAGTGCTGTTAATAACAAAAGTGACTATGTGTTAAATTACTAATTAAAAAAAAACCCTCAATAAATTCTATTTGGCTTCAGGAATGCATGATCCATATTTATCAGCAGACATTATCTATTCCTCTCAGCTCAGTGTTTCTTGATCTTTGCTCTTGGAAAAATGTTTCCCTCTCAGAACAGATATTGTCCAATGAAAAGTATTTAAGCATATTTTCCCACCAAATGGAGGTTAAGGTTTATATATCTTCCGTTTGGCTTCAAACATATGCATTTTATTAGTCCTTGAAAACTTTGTTACTCAAAGCTCCTATTTTACCCAAAGCTCCACTATTTGAAATTGCATACTTCCCAAAGGAGATAATGTCCACAGTGAAAGAACTGTTCATATTTTTACACTACATGAGGGTCACTGTATTGTTAAGTACTAATTTAACCAGTCATGACCAGTGGAGAATCTGAGTTTTACTGCAGCTGTTCAAATAACTTTTTCTGAGTAGTTTGTGTAAAAATTCAGTTCCATTCAATTCAATTTTAATTTAAACTCTCACAAACATTAATTTTACAGAGGTGTCAGAGAAAAATAGAATACATATCAATATATACAAAATACACATAGAAGATGATAAATAGCATTAATGAAATAATTTACAATTGCAATTAAAAAATAAAGTGTTAAAGAGAGAAAGAAAAGGAGATAAAGGAAGACAGTTAGTTTTAATACAAGGTTGATCATGTGGAGTTTGGGACAACTAAATAGTTTATGGAACTAATCGAGTAGGTGCCCCAAAGTGACAAAATTTAGCAGAAGGAATACAGTGTTAATCAATATAATAAGTTACTGATCAATATTTTTTACACCATCACGTCTTTATCTATTGTAACCTGTGCCACGGCAGCCCTCCTCGAAAGGAGAAATCTTTCAGAGAGAGTGGCTATATAATAAGACAGGCTATATATAACGCAAGGCCAACAGAAACATTTTAGCCTTTCTAGAATTATCATTACCAGAAAACACAGTATTTACCTTCCAGTCATCACTTCTGAGTTGTTTATAGATATCTGCAACTCGTTCTTGGATTTCAACCTTCTCGTACCTTTCATCACCAAAGGAGCCCCTTGTCTGTGCATCTTTTATTGAAATGTCTAAATAGAAAACCACATCTGGATTTGGCAGACCCCGATCAGGATTCTTACACCATGTCACATCAAAACCCTAACAGAGGTAGAAAGAGATTTATTTAGCATCTAAAGGAAGAAAAACTAACCAACAGTGAACACTAAAATCCTCTCCATTATTTTGTGCATAACCAAGCCCATTTTGTTATGAATTTTTTTGTCTAAACCAATTCACACTTTGCATAAATGGAGCCGATATCTGAATAAAAATAGATTGTTTTCATATGATGTCATCACTTTCTAAAATCCAAAACTAAAGAGCCACCAAAGTTTTTATCCTCATCTGGCATAAGAGTCTCAAGGTGCATTTCTTTGGGACAAGCTGGATCAGGATCAATTTTGCAAAATCACTCGGATCATGGTGCATCAAAGGAACCAATGATTCGACTCTGATGATGCAGCCTTCTTTGATGCCCTTGATTGGAGTGATCTTAGATCATTGATCCTGATGTTGATATCCCAAAGAAAAGCTGTGCTATTTGCTCTTCAATGGTCAAGATACCTTCTTACTATTGTAGTGTCTCTCTCCACCCAGGTGACATGGTTACCATCAAGTTATTGAGTCAAACAGACTATTCAGGTGAAACTGGACTAACATGCTAACTGCAGGAAGTCACAAAACTCCTGGTAGCTTTATGAAATGGACAACCAAGGGAAGGAAAACAGTCTAAGCAGGCAGCTAATTAGCCACCAAAACCAAAATTCATACAGTGAAATAGCATAATTTGCAAATCTAATCTTGAATTCATTTTAACTACAAATTATTTACATATTAGTCTCAAATATGTGTCTAAAGTAATATATCAAACACGAAAGACCATGTTTGACCACATTTCCAAACACCGAAATGAGTTGAAAATACTATGCGCAGCAGAGTATTTTTGACAAACTTCAAGGTGTTTGGAAATGTGGTCAAACACTGCCTTGAGTGTTTGATATATCCTCTCAATTGTAACTAAAACGGAAGAGAAAACAGAGAAATAAACTCATAAAAATCTATGCTAATTAAGATCAGATATCCAGACACCGTCACGGTCATGATTTCCTTTGTTTGAACTTGAAGAATTATCAATGCGTTTTAGATGGTAAAAACTAAACTAACTAAAATCAGTCTCGACAGCACATTGATCGCTTAACAGTGGCAAATTTTTAACAAGTACAAACCCACCTTAGCTGCAGTAAAAGCTACTCCAGAAAAAGCATATCGATCCACTATCACAAGGGTCCCATTTTCTAAAAGCTGCTTAATTTTTGGTCTGAGAAACAGGAGAAGAAAAATGTGCTGTTAAATTACATCGCCACTGGAAAAAAACCTCCACACTAAGTACTTATTAAGTAACTGACCAGAAAAGGTGATATTCTTCTTGCATTTAAATATGACACATAGAGGTTGTAAGCAAACTAAATCTTGTATCCAGGGTCTGCATCCCCTAGACCAACAGTGGGGAAACATGAGACTTTCCCAACCACTGGTCTAGGGGAATGCAACCTCTGGGTATGAGATTGAAGGAAACTGTCTGTTTTCAGGTCATTTTGGAGTGGCATCGGGTAAAAGATGATGTTCTTTATGCCATGGTTGTGTGGGAGTAGGCAGCTGGAAGCAGCTCTCTCTTCAACTTCCGTGACATTGGAAGATCTGTTTCTTTACAAATTTTTGTGTGATTTTTTAGCCAGCGGGGTCTCCAGAAATCCTGTGGACGCCCAATTTTTATTTTGGTTTTTTTTTTCACATTGCTTGCTTTATAAACTGCTGGCTGAGCTGGTACAATTACAGCAAATCTTGGATGTCCACTTTTCAATTCTTGGCCAGCTATAAGCCTCCTTACTACAAAATTCACAGTCAAGTCAGAATAGCCGTGGCCTTTCCAAATTAGTCCTGGTTTAATATCCTTTAATGTACATACTGGCAATAAGTAGGGAGAATCAAGACTTACACAACTTCCCATCTGTTTGCTGAGAACAGTAAATGAATAGCATGATCTTCTAACTCCGTTTTTCCTTGCAGATACGAATTAATGGACTGTCCTATGGCTGTTGTTCTATCTGAAAACAGACACAGGAATTCTTAACAAGAAATGTAAAGTATATCAACAAATAAGTACCAACAGGAAGTGTTTTCCTATTGGTTTTAACAAAAGACTGACAGCAGATAAACATGCAATCTTATTAACTACACCTCCATTCAAGCAATAGTTAGCCCCTGGAACATGTCAATAGTTTGTTAATGCATCATTTACAAAAAATGTCAGACTGAATGATAACTGTGTAAGGATGTGGATTAATTAATAAAATCTTCTGTTATTCTGAAGTGATGATTAATTTAATAAAGTATTGGACATAGCTGTGTTTGCAACATATAAAAAAATAAAGAAAGCTATTGGATTTTTGTAGAAATTTATGACTAAACTAAAACCATAAAGATATATCACTTCTCAAGCTTGTTCTTTGTTTCTCTTTGTTGACATTTTATCAACTTACATAAACATTGGGTTTGTAGTCTTACGAGCCACATATTGGTTTTAAAGATGAACAACATTTGGAGCAGGTGAAGGATTTTTGGAGTGGGAGTGTAGTTGTTAGCATGAACAACAAAGGTGCTCTTTTGCAGCTCTGGGAGTATGCTCCTTCTAAGCAAGAAAGTTGCAGACCATGTCTCATTGGGGGCCAGGGCTTCAACTATACAAGCCCCCATCACCCTCCATGGATCCTGGTGATCAGTACTCTGTTAATCTTTGGGTGGGATGTGCTGCTGGGGCACTGAAACCCTTACCGTGTACTAGACCATGATCAGCACCACAAACTCCTACGCTGTCCCAGGAATATAGCTATTTTCCATGCAGAAATTTTATCACTATAATAGTCCAACATACATGTACGCTAACTAAACCAATATCTTACAAAGTCACTTCCAAGTTTCAATTTCTATTGACTAAACAGACTAAACTGCCTGAAAACTATACCCTTCACAGCGGCACACACCCACATAGCTCATATATGGGAGTAACCCCATCCCCNCCCCCCCCCCAAACCACCCCAGGCCGTGGATCTACCTCCATACAAGTTAAGGGTGTGCTCCTTCGAGAAGATTAGAATCAGGATCAATGATGTAAGGTGCTGGTGCATCAAAGGAACTGATGAATCCTTTTCTAGAGTGGATTCCTCCGTTTCTCAGATACACCATGACCTGAATGATCTTGGATGATTGACCCTGATCCGGATCGTCCAAAGGACAGCACTCTAAAACAGAGCAGTACGATCATGAAAAGAAAGAGAAAGTTGCCCACGCCATTCACAAACCAAATTATTGTGATGATCGATGGAAAGGAGAATACCGACATGCACAGCACAGCGTGAAAAATTTTCATTGTACCTTCACCCTTCAACAGTAGCTAGAAGAACATAAAAAAGGTGAAAAAAAGGAGTTACCTGGGAAACGTAAATGAGCTACGTCTCGCCCAATCGATTTCAAATATTCCACAAGCATTTTACATTGTGTTGACTTTCCGCTTCGATCGCAACCTTCGAACGCCACCAAAATTCCACGACCTCTTCGAGTTATGCAGTTCATCGTCATTTTCAGGAAATGGATATTGAACTAACAGCTACAAAACTGAAGAAATCAAATTGTCGAACGTTTCGAGCGAGCGTGGAAAGAGATTAAATTTTGGCGGGGAAGCGGCAATCATGGCCGCCGAACTGTGACCGTTTCCAGTCCTTCCTCAGCTATTGAGGGTAAACCATGGAAACGAGGTTATTACCGCTAAATGCAAATGCGTGACATCGAGTTGTCACGCAAGGCTCAACGCGCGTGGTAAGTAATTATAAAGTTTGACTCGAGTTTTTCGACAGAATAAACAAACATAAAAGTCATAAAATACCTCTGAATCAAGAAGAGTTGTTTCACTAGTCGTAAGTACACACTCATATGGATTAATCAAATCAAGATTAAAACAATATTTTTAGTCTGGCCGCAGCGGCGTATTTTTTTCTCAATGAGAAAATAGTACTTAGACTGCTTCAAGATCTTAGACTCTGCACCTACCAAGTACCAAGTTAAGCTTAAGGAGTCTATGTACATTAAGTGGGAAAAGCCTGACGTTAATCAACAGGTCAAACACATCAATTTGACGCTTTCCCTATAGCTGCACGCGCACGCGCATCTTTTAATTCCGTTAACTTCGAAATTCACCTAGCGTATTGTTTTCCAACGCAATGTAACGTATGATTTGTAACAGGCACGTTTTAAATCACTGTAAACTTTCATAACCGTCACACTGACGATGACGGATGTACCGTCGAAACATGTTTGTGAAAATTAAAAAAAGTCGTATTATTTTTGAAAATTTCTACACTTTTGCTGCTGTCTCGACCATTAGTGAGAAAAGAAAAGATTCGCGGATAGACTACAATATTTTGAGATTGGGTTTCAGGTATAAAGGGAAACACTTGTTCATTTGGTGATACAGTATTGTTACCGAAGAATTAAGAGTCTATCAAGATGTGACGCAATTCAAAATAAAGGTCAATTCAAAAAGTTTCATAAATACAACATCAAAAACAGAAATTTCATTTTCTCTAAGTTTACTTATCTCCAGAAAGATGAAAATTATTGGCCAGACCCGCCTATAACGTATTACAAATAAGAAAGAAACAATGAACCAATCTGCGGTTGTAGAAATATTAAGAGATTTCAATATCGCCACACAAAAAAACAAAAATCGATCAAATATGTAGACGTAAATTACACACCACGGACTTTTTAAAAGAAATATATATTTCTCAGTGTTAAAAATAATACCGTAATTATATTTCGTGATACAACTGTAATGTTAACAAGCTTGCATTGAAAGGGCATCGCACTTGCTCCAGATGTTTCCATTGTGTATACAAAGCCAGAGGTTGAACCAAAACAACTTATGAAATATTAATGAACTAACCGACTACATCTTCAAATGACTCCCATTAAAAGAGCTTAAGAAGCTTAGCTCGGTTAAATATCTTTATGAGAAATGTCATGTAACAATGTCATTTACTGTACAGAGAGAGATTTAGCGTCCGCAGAAGACAGAATAATGATGTTTTCTTGAACACTGGGTTGACGACGAACACCTTTCAATATAAGCTAATGTAAGCCACTCGATCGTAGACTGAATGTTTTGGTAGCAGTTCATTTTCTAAGCTGAACCGCAAGAGTGCTTTTTTGTCGATGATATCAGGGCAATGTTTTTAACTTATAATATCTGTCAGTTGTATCGATGTTTCACTCCTACTGCCAAAGTCTTGGCTGAAATTTCGTTCATCAGTTCTTGGCCGCTGTGGTGTAAACGTAGACGACCAGCAATGCAAACAACCCAACCAAAACAGGCAACGCGATGGTTAAAACCCTCTGATGTCCTTCAGCGTTTCCTTGTTTTCTTTCTCTCTTCATTCGTCTTGTTTCTTTGGACGCTTTTCCCGGTAGCTGCCTCATGTTTAGGTGAAAAAGGAACTTCGATAAATGGTTTGTTTCTCCGGCAGTTTCGTTCGCCAAGAGTTGATTTATGAGTGTCACGCTTTAGTGACTCGCGATCGTTTCATACTGACGACACGTCATTGGTTTATGTCGGCCAATATAATTTTCTGAGACATCGTTGTTTTGGACCAGCGGTAGTAAGGCAAAATATACACCAGCTTTGGAGTTCTCAATCAAACAATCAGAGAGTTAATTTCATTAAAGGTCACAAGAAATTTTCGGAAAATTCAGTTCTTTACATGTAATTACACTTTTCATCTTTCACATGGAGTAGAGCTCAGCTGAGGTTCAAAGGAGCTAATTGCAACTGTACAATTATTAAAAGCTTCATGGTCATTTCATGATCTTGCTTATCTTCCTGCAACGGAGTTAGGTAGTTTATGAAAATCATGCCGCTTTTATTATTGACTGATTTAATCGATAAAGCTATCTCTCCGCAGATGTTTCTCTAGTGTTCTCCAAACATAGCTGTTGTGAATTTCAATTGGAACATAGGTCCTTCGCCAGAGATCCCTTTCCCCTGTCCTTGGCAGCTCTTTGCAGATGGTTTCAGCTCAGTCCAGTTTGATGTGCTTCAACCTCAGTCGGTCTTCGTGTTGCTTTGAGCCAGTTTCCCGAGACCTTCATAGAGCGGCGTGCCCCAGCCTGGTCACATTGGCAAAAGGCTTTCTAATAGTATGACCCAACCAGCGCCATTTCCTATTTCTGAGTTGCAATTGTCGATGCTTAGTGTTGTTCTGCTCTCTCGTGCTATCGAAATCAAGGTAATGCCGGAAACAGTCTGTGTGCGCGGGGACTGGGAAGAGGCAAGTTAAGGGATTCACCATTCTCCCCTCTTTAGTCTTAATGGGGAAAGTGCGAGATCAGAAGATTAACAAGTTGTGTTGACTATATGGGCAAGAAAAAGAAAAATTTAGTTGTTTATTCTGATCCTCCGGCATAGGTATCTAGTGACTGACCATTTATGGGAGGTTAGATCTGCAGTGTTCATGTGGCTGGGAGCCCCTTAAGTTAAGTGCCCTCCTACGGTGTCGATAAGCCTTCGACGTTCGACTATGTCAGTCTTTACGTACTGGTTCGGTCCCTCGCCGGCCATGTATCCTAACCAAGAAGTGGAGGAAAGTGGAGAGGAGTTAATGCTCCGAGAGTAAGTCGTTAGAACAAATTGGCACAACTGAAGCTACGAAGATGAATCGGAAAAAGGTTCGACATTTTAACTTTTTTAAATCAAGATCATTTACCATATCAATCCACGCTGACAATAAGTAAAACACCATTTTATATCTTAGGTCGGAGACAAAGAATAACTTCAAAAATACTATCTTGAAATGATCATTTGTTTTCTGTCACCAAGCAATAACAATATCAATCAAAAATAAAGCGCTCATTAAATATAATGTACTTGTCACCTGCCATACCTACAGTTTCCATTAGATTGTTTGACAAATTACACCGCTATCTGGCAAAAATTACACGATTCGCTTAAATCACACTCGTCTAAAAGAGGCCGCTTGTTTGTGACAAGTATAATTTACTTAAGCAACAGACCTGAACCACGAAAAGTTAATTACCTGTTGTCTTTGCTTAAGTCCACCTGAAAAATGGATTCATAATTTATCACTAGCGCCAGATCATATCACTATATGCTCTGGACTCGGCAAGAAATTGATTTTTGTTTGGTTTGCCAAAAGGGTCTTACACAGTCATATCCAAGGAAATGTTCCTTCCTTTTGAAAGGAAATATGGTTTGTTTATGCCGCTTAGGGAACAACGACGATGATTTTATGGATTTTTAATTCGCTAATTTTTCTCCTGTGGAGCCGCACCTGCTGCTCTACCAGCCAGCAAAATGTTACAACAAGGCTCAAGAACTACACGGCCCTAGCGCTGGATTTCCTGAAAAATTATGAAGTTCAAGCAACACAAATCTACTCAGGCGAGAGTTAAGCCGCCTGGAGATACGAGACGGACCTAACCGAGTGCAACAGGGAATTTTCTGTTGTAAACTCCACATTTGCGAAAGCTTTTAGTATGAAGGCCAGCAAAAACGCCTCCCTTATAAACGATGTCGATCTCTCAAACGACATGGCGAGGCAAATAAGGATAATTCGCCGAAATGTCCTTCCTAAATCTCAAAGGGACATGAAATTAATAGATGATCTTATTTCAAATATGACCAACATTTATAGTACCGGGAAACTTTGTAAGAAAAATAACTACACTAACGAAACGCGCTGTATGGAACTCGACCCAGACCTCAACGAGTTGATGGCAAAGTCGCGCGATTATGATGAACTCTTATGGGGCTGGAAAAGTTGGAGAGACACTGTGGGTCCTCCCATGAGAACGCTGTACGAAAGACTTGTGGGCCTTCTTAACTCTGGAGCGCGTGACCACGCATGGGGAGACTATGGAAATTTTCAACGCAGCGAATATGAAATGGGAAATGACTTCCAATCGGCGATCAAGAAGTTATGGAATGATCTGAGACTGCTGTATCAAGAACTTCATGCTTATGTGAGGTACAAATTACACGAGAAGTACCCTCAAGTTCCCTCAAATGGAACCATTCAGGCCCATCTTTTGGGAAACATGTGGGCCCAGGATTGGAGTTCAATCTATGATATCGTGAAGCCTTTTCCCAAGGTCCCATCTCTTGACGTCACCCCAAACTTGATAAAGCAGCAGTACAACGCAAAGAAAATGTTTAAGCTTGCGCAGTCGTTTTTTGTTTCCCTTGGCCTCGATCCCATGCCCCAAATGTTCTGGAATAAGTCCGTCATCACAAAACCAAAAGACAGAAAAATGGTTTGTCATCCATCGGCCTGGGATTTTTGCAAGGGAGACGTAAGGTAAGGAAATCAAAATGAAATCTCTATAATTATTGGATGCGTTTCTTGATATGAACAGGCGCGCAGATAGGAAGACAAAAACCAACACAAAGTGACACACACAAAGACACTCAGACAGATAGACAGACACACACAGACTATAAAGAAAAGCTATAGACAAAATGCTCTGTTAACACTATTCGGGTGTGTTATTGGCTTAGGATAAAGATGTGCACTGGCGTGAACCAGGAAAACTTGATTACGATCCACCACGAGATGGGACATTGTGAGTACTATCTTGCATACAAGGACCTCCCTTATGCATACAGAAGTGGCGCCAATCCGGGCTTTCACGAGGCTATAGGGGACACTATTGCACTCTCTGTGGAGAACCCGAAGCACTTGAAATCAGTAGGGCTATTGTACACTGTCGGAAACGATACTGGTAAGTAATTCTCTAAGCAGTTCGAAGAAACGTAAAAACTAAAAAGCGATTGATTGGCTACACGGGTGTCGTCTACCGATGGAAAGAAAGCGATCAATTATTGTGCGTTAATTAATTTATAAGAAGTAAAAAAAACATTTTGTCGTTAAAGTACTTTTATTATAGTTGATTAATGTCCTCTATTTCATAGACAAACTACTGGGGTATAGTAAAACTGTTCAGACTTTTCACTCTCGGTTTCTATCGACCATGTGGTTAACGATTAGACGGCTGGCAATTCGAGGCTTTTCTAGCGACTGAAGATGCTCTGACTCAAGAGAGAACAGTCTCTCTTTCATCTATTCGTCTCATCACCCCTCGACCAAACCAACCCACTTTTGCTTAACACACAAGAATAAGGAGAACTCTTATCAAGAAAACCATGTCTTTAGGAAAAAAATAATTGTAACTAAGGCTCACTTCTCCCTTTTATTTTCTTCATGACTACGCAATGCGGACCTACATTAAGAAGTTTTTTTTTTCCCACACTGCAGAGGCGGACATTAACTACTTAATGATGCAAGCTTTACGTCGCGTTGCACCTCTGCCTTGGACGTTACTTGTTGATCAGTGGAGATGGAAGGTGTTCTCTGGAAGGATCACACCTTCAAATTATAACTCAGAATGGTGGCGACTGCGCATGCACTATCAAGGTGTGTCAGCACCAATCCCTCGGACGGAGAAGGACTTTGATCCTGGGGCGAAGTTTCACGTGGGATCCAATTATCCTTACATCGGGTAATGTTATGACTGACGGTTTTTTTTATTTTCAATTAATTTTGTTTCAAATAACATGTTTCCTATTTCCATAGCAACCACGGAATAGAGCCTATTATAGAAGAAAGAAGACCTATCGAAACTAATGGGCAATTTTCTCTACGAGATGCGGCTGCGGGGAGACATGTTATTTGTATTCATGAAGACAAATATCCAGTCCAAGATGATGAATACAACTACCATGATTCCCTGTGGGCTCGTCTCATAGAAGGAACTGGCCATTGTAATCTATCTTCCGCCATTCCTGAAAACAAAGAGAGGTGGCATGTTAAACTCTTCAACTGCAATTAATGACAGCAGCCCAGCTCCTTCACAGCTTTTTGTTGTTGCAAGCTTTAAAGAAATCGCAAACAAAGTGCTGGGTATGAGTGGCCTTACTGTGACACAGCCTCTTCCAGGCCTTCAGTTAGATTGGTCGCGGTACAAAAATTGGAGAAGCGAATAAATAGGGACGAAGGGCGGTGCGGGAAGGCACCGTTTTTCACGCCGCTCTCCAACTAGCTGAATGCTTTGAAGAGGCTAATTGTGAAAACGCAGAGTCGCGAGTTAACAGGACGAAAAAACCTGGAAACTATTGGGGTGCTTTCTAATCAACCAAAAATTCCAGGACTTTTGAAACGGAAGCAAACGGAACGGAAATTTTTAGGGAGGTTTCCGGAAAATGGTAGAATTTCCGAAATGGGAACTATTTACCCAACAATTTCCGAAATTCTGGTAGGAAAATGAAATGGAACGGAAATTCCCGGTAAGTAGTTTCCGAAAATTGGAGTATACCTCCCGAGATTGGCCACTGCTGCTTCAATTCGCCTCTTGAAATTTCAGAAATTCAAATCGGAATTATCGTTGCACAGCAAAGCGCCACTGGACTGTCAATACATATTGCGGACCTATGCGTGCGTAGGTGTACGCTTACAATGCAGGGCGGGCCTGCAGGGCGGAAAAGGCTGCCCTACATACAAGCGCCTTGTACAATGCTAACTTCTCTGCTATTTCTTTTCGTTTGCAGCTATTTCGTTTCACTCATTCTCCAGTTCCAGTTTCATCGCTCACTTTGTGCAATTTCCAAACACCAAGGAAAGCTTCATGAATGTTCTATTTACAAGTCAAAAGAAGCCGGCCAAAAATTCAGGTACGAGCCTCCTCAAGCTGATTTGTTGCAGTGATAAACAAATTTGTTTTCTTAAATCAAATCTGACCTTCCTTGTTATCTTTATTTAATAAGAGAAATGCTCGCGGCAGGTCGAAGCCGGCCTTGGCCCCAGACCCTTTACCATTTGACGGGTGAGCGCGAGATGACAGCCAGCGCCATATTGGAATACTTTGCTCCCTTACAAGAATGGCTTGCTAAATATCGCTCGAAAAAAGGATACACTACAGGATGGAAAAGGAAAAAGGTGTTATCCACAAGTCCGGTAGTAAGTGGTGCGAGGAAAACATTGCCCTCTTCAACGCAAAGTTTATCAAATGAAAAGACTCAAACGCCCTCTAATAAAATGCAATTAGCCTCAAAAGGAAAGAATTCAACATCTAGTGACAAGAACGGAACGGCTGATGTTACCTTCCCGGATGTTAAGAAGAACGACGATGCTATTAATTTGGGTAAACCGGATTTAAAGGCTGCCCTGGCGGCCCTGGGGCCTGCCTTAAAAACGTCCGAGGAAAATTCAGGCAAAGGCAGGAGCAATTCGCTCCTCGACCCCAAGTCCGCCATCTTGGGAACAAAACCGATGTTCGTTCCCAATAAAATCAAAGATCAGTTGGTTCTAGGTTAAACTCTAAATCTTTTTATGGCATTCGCATGATTAAATTTCAAGACAATCGTTGCGTTAACTCCACGAAGGGTATTAGGGAACAAGGAGGTTTGCACGTTCTTGACTCGCGGCTAAGTCGGAGGATATGATATCCTGCATGCTTGCAATTGACCGCGACTCAAGTAGAATATAATTAATCCGAAGATCCAAGGTTAGAGTTAAAAGCGGTCTGCAGAACAGTCCGTATTTTATCGCGTTACACCACCTAATTAAATTATCCCTCTTTTCGATCTTTTGCTAGCTTGTTTCAGGCTCTCGATAGTTGGGGAGGAGCGACAAAGAGAGGGCGAGCGAGGGAAAAAACGAGGAAGGACTGAGGCGAAGAACGGCTTCTCTTCCTCGCCTAATGAGTCCCCCTCGTTTTTTCTCTCGCTCGCCCTCTATTTTTCCGCTCGACCCCAACAAGCGGGAGCCTGGAACAGGCTAATCTTTTGCTAACTGAACTAAGCACCGTTCCATAGCTCTAGGAATTTAAACTGTTAACAAACTGTACTGCGTCTGCCCAGCATAACTTACAGCTGCACCCACCAATACAATATTGCATTGGTTTCTTAAGGATTGTTCAGCACGAGAATAAATGTCCATTGACAACTTTCCACTGAGTTTATTACGTAAAATATATAAAAGGAATTTGTAAAAATAATAATGCGCATTATTAATAGTATTCTTAATAATAAACTAAAGTGCACACATTGTCCTGTTGTGTTCTATAGGGAGTACACTTGCCTCAGACTTGTCTTTATGAAAGGAAACAAAACAAGAGACTCTGGTAACAGGAATAGTTAGAATCCAATACGCACGCGCCAACTTACTTTTTGTTCTAGCCATTCTTTACTCAAGATCCCACGGTATTTCTGGCCAGCGAGGTAAAATACCTTGTTTCTGTGTACGTGAATTAGAGGTCAAACCACTTACTTCCGTCACTAACTTCCACCTTTCTCTATCTTGGTGATATCTGAGGCATTTATTCTTTATAGTCCTATTTGACATATTTAATTCCTATGAACGAATGCCGGATAAAAATTCTGTCTTTTCTTTTTAACGCATAGCTGATTTACAACTTATCGTACGTGTGTTATGTTATTTAAGCAGACTAAGAATAAGCAGTTTATTACTCCAAGATCCTCAAGATAAGAAAAGTAGGTCGAATTAATCAAACGACTTTGTCGGATTCTAAGCAATAAAAAAAGATATTGAAATCCAAATAAAACCTTTGTCTAAAGAACCTTTCATTTAAAATTAATTAAATGTTTACACTAACGCAAGGTTCAACGTGAAGGAATAAAAGATGAAAGTTTCCCTGTTGCCAGCTGTGACGATTTGACTTTCCTCCAATGATTAATTTGCTAATTAGTAAGAATCAATTTGAATTTTGTCAAAATGTGGTAAGGACAAAAAAGGGGCACACGAGGCGATAGCCGGGTGTGTCACGGATGTTCTTACAACAATTTGACGTCATCTGTGATCAATTACTGAACAGACGCAAGGCAACATGAAATCTTATATAATAAAGAAACAAAAACTGTTAATGACGTCATCTATGCGTCTGTCCTTCAATTAATCGTAATTAAGAACCAATCAAAATGCGAGAATTCGACATATTATATAATAATGACTGCATCATCCGGAACTCAAAGATTTTCCGTCGCTTACAATAGAAGGGGTAAATCGCCGTGCACTCACAGGAACTCTATCGGATCTCCAAGAGCAGCCCAAAAAGTTCCCGCCAAAACGGCGGGCGAGGTTCCTCTGTTCACTTAAAAATAAGATTGTGAAGATTTCCAGGAGACGATTCAGGAGACTGGATTCCAGTAGAAAAAGGTATTTGTCCCTTTGCATCGTGCTTTGCCTGTACTATATGAAGCTCATTTTAGACTGCAAAACAAATTTTGGATGCTAACCATTCATTGCCCATATAAATTTCCACACTTTTGGGTAACAGGTAAACATTTCTTATCCCCTCTTGTTCACAGCCAAACTAGAAGCGTGTTTTTAGCCTAATAACTCTACGCCAATCCGCACATAGATTTGCAGACTATTAACATTACCAAAAAGCATTCAGTAACAGGTCTATTGAAGTACAGTTTTCGCGTGACCCTGTCAATCATACCAAATGGTCGTAAATCGAATTGAATGCCAGAAATGCCGAATTCTTTCTATAAATGCGCCTGCAGGGAATCATGGTAGTTGTATTCATCATCTTGGACTAGATATTTGTTTTGATGAATACAATTACAATCACGCCTCTTAAAGAAAATTGGCCACTGAAAGATCGTGAATCGCAAATTTCCAGACCACTGAACTTTGCACGAAATTTTCTGGTAGTTTGAAATTAGTAGGATTTGTATGGTAATCCAGCAACTTTTTCCAATACAAATCTTCTTAATTTTTTAAACTTCTAAACAATTCATTTCTGTACATCAGCAGTCAGAAGCTGAATTCGTCAAGCTGTGTCCATTTCTGGCATCTACCACGACCAATTTGTTTTTAATTGACAAGATCACGAAACAGCATTACCCAAACACTCTACTATTCATTATCATAATATTAAGTAAATGTTTCTAACGCGTTACATAGTTGTAACAGTCTGAATCAGTTCACCTACAGGTAAGTTCCACCGGCGTACTGGCTCGATATTCTTGAGGGCCCATCGTGCCGTGCGCGCTTTCCATTAATATGGCCGTAGGGATCCACATAACCGTGTCTACAATTCGGATCGTTTTCTGTATTGTATTTGCTTTTAGCAAAGCCTCGATCTTCTTCTGCTTCATGACTGTACCACGGGTCTTCGGTCGAATTGCGATTTCTATCGTAAAACTGCGAGTCAACTTCCAAAGGTTCTCTTGAACCGTTAGTATAAGGAATGTTCTCCGAGGGGTATTGTTCAGTTTCGTATGGGTGGGGCGCCTCTCTGTATTCGTGGGGTTCTGGGTACGGCACAACTCCTCCGCTCATTTCGTCCACGTACTCATCGGTTATTTCTTCATAAACTTCTTGGTACCCGATCAAGTTTCCATCATTATCGTAGACGCCTATTATTCTCCTTTTGTAGGAACTCTCGGGTTTCCGCGGGGGCACTGTGTATGGATCCGGATATTCTTCTAGTTGACGGTCATTGTCGTCAGGATACTCCCCACTGGGGGCACTCTCGTACGATTGAGCCTCCTGAGGCGGCTGCAGTGGGGGCTCCTCTCCTCCCCATTCGTTTGATGGGGGTTCGGGCCATGCTTCGCCATCTTGGTAGTTTAATCCCCTGGGGTAAAACTCGTCCCTTTTATCAACGCCGTTCTCTGGGGGCTGATTGTATTCGTCAGGTACATCATGGTGTGGAGCATGCGCGTGCAGAAGACCATCCAATTTAAACTGTTCCTCTCGACTCAGCGCTCTGAATCGTCCCTTGGGTTCCAGTTGTTCATCAGCCAAGCCTTCATCCGGATACACGTCAGGTTGGTCATTGCTGCGGTTTGGCACCGGTTTAAAGGCTCCTGCATTAAGACGCACAGCGGAGCCCTTAATAAAAGGGAACCTATCTGGATCTATACTCTTGGGAATCTGAGGCCTGGGCAAGGCCTGAGCGCTGATGAGAATTCTCTCAGGTTGGGTGAGTGGAACTGAATAAGATGGCGGCGGAGGAGCGCTTTCAACTTCTGGCGCCGAGAAAACCACAGGTGGAACATCACCTTCTTCACTTTCTTGAGATAAACTCTCTCCATCGTTGTCCTCTGGTTCAGAAGCGTACAGCTCTAATGGATGAGTCACCACAAAGCTTCCCTCTGGCTTGTGGTCCACGGTAACTCCGACAGGCTCTCCAATGATGACTGTACCTGGCAGCTGACTGACGGAAATCTCCAGCTCAGACTTGCTGCGGCTTAGACCGGGGGTAACAACTCGGCTTCGAACGCGTTCTTGAACGGACACTCCCAACTCGACTTCCGGTTTTCCTTGGACATCGATGGTTAGAGACGTTGTTTCTGACTTGTCTGGTACCACAGGCACACCAGCCCGGAGTTCAGCAACCTGTGCGCGACTCACCTCGTAACGCTTGTACAGAGATTGGATTTCTTTGGATAGTTCAACCACGTGAACACTGAGCTTTTCGTTTTTCTTCTCGCATTCATCTAACTGAACTGTTTTTCCCTCGAGCTTTTCTTGAACTTCCTTCACGTTGTCCTCCAAGAACCGGATCCGAGTGTGCAGAACCGATTCGTCCTTCTCGGAGGCTGGTATTCGGCTCTGTAGCAGTTGAATCTCTCTCTCCAACATGATGATTTGGTTGTCTTTGTCACCGTCATCCATTTCTTCCATCATCTTGTTCTTTTCACTCAGCTCTTTTCCAAGTTTACTGATCGTGTCTTCTCTGGTCAATAGTTCTTTCTTGATCCATTTGGCCTGCTCTTCAGCCTGTTGTTTTTGTTTAGAAGCTCTTTGAAGCTCGATTTCGAGATGAGTGATCCTTGTGTGCGATTTGTCAAAATCTTTGCTCAGACCTTCAATCTCCATATTGGCCTGACTCAGCTTTATCTCAACTTCCGCGAGTTTTTCTGAATCTTTCCGGAGCTCGCTTTGAAGATTGTTCTTCTCCTTCTGCAAGGAATCTTTCTCATCTTCAACCTCGTCTAGTTTGAGTTTCAGAGACTCAAACTTTTCCTGCCAACCGTCTTCGCTCGCCTGCCGATGCAAGGATCTCTTTAGCTGTTCAAGCTCTTCTAGATACCGTTCACACTCTTCCTCTTTCTTTCTTGAAGTGTCTTTGAGTTTCTTTAGCTCTTTCTCCAGATCTCCAGCATCCTTGGCGAGTTTTAGTTCGGACACTTGACGTCGCAGTGTGGCAGTCTCGCTATGTGCATCGTTTAACTCTCGTCGAACCTTGCCATATTTGGACTTCGTTTGCTCGTGTTCATCTTCCTTCCTCTCCAAGTTTCGCTCCAGTCGTTGCTTCTCCATTTGAAGGGAACTCTTCTCTCGTTTTAGCTCGTCGTGCTTTTGCTTCCAGTTCTCATCGTCTTTTGTTTTTAGCTTGGCTTTCAAGTCATATAGCTCGGCCTCCAGCTTACGAACCTTCTCCTCCAGATCTTTGTTCTTGCTTTGCATTTTGCCTCTCTCAGTGATGTGTAAGTCTTCTTCCTCCTTCAGTTCTTCGCTCAGATCTGACACTTCGTCCTTCAACTGTTTATTTTCTTTCTTCAAATCATCGTTCTCGTCGCACAGGTCCCCGTACATTTCTTTTCCTTTCTCAAATCTCTCTTTCATTTCTTTGAGCTCGTCATCAATGTCTTCTTTCTGCTTGGTAAGGTCTTCCTTCTCTTCTTTTAATTTCTTTTCGTCTTCCAGAACCTTGTCGTATCTGTCTTTCAACTTCTCATACTCCTCGATAAGCTCGTCTTGGGAATCTTGTGACTTCAGTTCAATGAGTTCTTGCCTGGCCTTTTCCAACTCTTTCTCGATGTACTCATGTTCTCGTAACTTCTCTTCCAGGTCTTCTATGATGTTTTTGTCCTGGGCCTGGTCTTTGCGCAGGTTATTTATGATCATTTCTTTCTCTACTAACTCTTTTCTCATCTCCTCACATCGTTCGTTCAGATGCTCGATGGTCTTGGTAAGCTCATCTGTAGTTTTCTTGGCTCTTTCCTCGGATTCCTCTAGGCATTGTTCGACTTGTTCTTTCTCTCTCTTGGTGCGTCCTAGAAGCTCTTCGAGTTCCTGTATTTGAGACTTAGAGTAGTCTTGGCTGGACCACGAATCTTCAGGTTCCTTTGGCAACGCAGCAAGACTTGGAGTTGCTCCGACAGCCACAATACGCTCTTCATTATTAAAGTCGTAGTCGTCACTCAAGTCCTCCTCATCGACGGCCAATGGAGCACCTTGTATGATGTGGCCGGCTAGTTCGCTTTGTAAGGAGATCACCTCGTCTCTGAGTTGTTCCAGCTCTTGGGTCAACTCTTCATTTTCTCTCATCAACCTTCTTCGTTCTTCGTCTCCGTCCTCTTGATCTCGGTCTCGAGCGTCTTCAAGTTGCCTTTGTAGCGAAGCCATATCATCTTTCAAGTCTTCGTTTTCCGCCCTCAACGCGGAAATGGTCTTTTCCTTGTCAGAAACCTCCTTCTTAAAGAGTTCTGCTCGGACGTGAGATTCGTTCAGTTGCTTGGTCCACTGTTTGGAGTCTATCTCTGTTTTGTTTTTACTATCGACGAACTGCAAGTACAGAAGTTCCTTTTCTTTGCAGACTTCTTTCAGATTCATCTCCAGCTGCGAAATCTTCTTGTTTTGAACCTCGAGTCTGTTGGTGCCTTCACGGATCAAGCTTTCGCGGCTGTCTTTCTCGGCTTCCAACTTGCTTTCCAATTCTGCAACAAGGCCTCGCACAACGGACAGTTCCTTCTCAAGCTCGATATTCCTCGCTCGACTTTTGTCGCAGTTGTCCTCTGAATCGCTCACCTGCGCGTGATAGTCCACAATTTGCTTCTTCATCTCCTCGATGATTTCATCATCAGCCGACAATTTAATTTGCAAGCCCTTCAACTTCTCCTCCAGATCGTCGACTTCCTTGCGCAATTCTTCCCTCTCCTGCTGCAGTTTGTCATTTTCCGTGGCAATTTCGTCATACCTGAGTTTCAAGGACTCCATTTCTTGCGTCAAATCATCGTCACCACGACCATAATGTTTACATTGTTTCTCGTCATCACCTGAATCATACTGGGGCTTGGCGTCACGCAATTCGTCGTTTTCCTTTCTTGCCTCATCGAGCAGATTCTGCAAATTCTCGTTGTCTTTCTTGATTTCTTCGGCTTTCTCTTGTTCCTCTTTGTATATACGAACTGTCGCCTCGAGCTTTTCTATGGTAATTTTCAACAGCTTATTTTCCTCCACAACCGTCTTGACAGTAATTTCGTGCTCCGAGAACGTTCTGTGATAAGAAAACGCCGCGTTTTTTAACACACCTATCTTTTCCTCGGTGTTCTCACACGCGTCCTCGAGGTTGCGAAGCCGCTCGCGTGTATTTCTTAACTCCTGTTCAAGCTCACCTAACCTATCTTGTGCCTCAAAGAAGCGTGATTTGAAATCTTCTTCGGCCGGAAGCTCTTCAACATCAAATCTGATCGTTTCCTCTGTGGTAGTCGAGTCCTTTGTCTCCAAAACAAGGTCTGATTTCTCTCTATTGACTTCCAAAACGTATGTGTACTCTTCAGAATCGCGCGGAGCATCACGATCATTCGGTCGAGCACTCGATCCTCGATTCAGTGAAATAGCATCCCTGGAGTCCGACATGTTGGAACGTTATTTACCTTTGTCACTGAATAAACGGAATGAAACAGAAAGTAAAGTATACTATTTCGTAAATAAATAATTGGCGTTCCAAGGTTGTGTAAGTACACGCGTGCTAAATGACAAGGACATTGTCACGAATAACCAAAACAGAAGCCAGCGGCAGGCGTTAAATGGCTTCCCGATCGCTTGCTCGATCTCTGTCGACTGATCCAATGATGCAAAAGACAAACGAACCCAACCAAGCGAAAGCCAAACAAATTTACCCGCAGAACAAACACATTGAATCAGCGACTGACAAGCGAGTAAAACATTGGCGTTTTTCGCAATTCAGTTTACGTCAGACGACAGGAGCGAAAGCAATCCTTGGTAGTTTAAAATACCCGATACATATAGTCATAATAATGAACCTAAGTGGCGGTTACTGCTTTCAGCAAAGAGAAATCTGGCACGAAGTAATCGTTTGACAAATGAAGAGGTGTTACAATACCTGCTGTCCCCGTTTGGAGTTCAATTTCTGCAAGATGTTTACAACATTTCGCTGTGACAGCCGCTTACCACAATCCCGCAAGCCACGGCTAAATAGCGAAACGCAAATATCTGATATGGCATTCAGCGTCTAATGTGATACACCGACGTGGGCAGTCCCGTGAGAACGGCAAGATTGGCCACTTATTATAAAAGACTCCACGACCAATCTACAAACGGTTTGCGAGGAATTTGCATACCAAAAACAACTATGTCACGCTCGACAAAACGGGAAATATTTCGTAAACCAGGTGAGTCACGCTTGATTTCACTTGTGCGGCGTATAATTATGACTAAAATGTTAATTGAAGCAATCCGTCACGTCACACTGAGCGAGTCAAGTATCAGTGAAAAGATTTAAGGAAAATTTTGCGTTTATTTAACCAATTTCTTTATGTATTTATCACTTATACTCTAAACGCAAACCTCTAATCCTAACGCTGCACAAACATTTGGCGGCGGTGTAATGTTTGTCGTGGAGAGTATTTTTGTTTTTAAACATAGGAACTGTTAATTGATGCTAATCATTTTTTGTAATCTAACACGGTGGCGTTAAAAGAATTCGGAGGTCAATGTTTGTACGTTACCTGAATTCTTTATGTTAAAATCTGAGCGAGAAAGACTCCCGATCCTAGAGGTTAAAATTCTTTGGTTTAGTGTTAGCCACAGGGTTAGCCATAATGAACAGCGTTGCCAATTTGTTTAGAACTTTCTAGCTGTGTCGCTACTGATTTTCGTTAGAATGTTACACGCCACACACCCAGCTTTGATAGTCTTGTCTGTAACGGGCTGTAAACCGCAAACTATTTTATTATTTAAGCCGGGGGTACGAAAAGCCTAAAAACGGAGCGGGGATGAAATATCCCTAAGCGTTTGCATGGTTGCGTAAGTAGCTTTGAGAATTTGTCGTTGAGAAACGAAAACGTTTTCCACTTCAAAAGCAAGATTCAGGATGAAAGTAGCTTGCTCTGACGTTATGATTAGTGATTGGGCTGATAAAGTTCTCCACTTCACTTTTTTGGCTAAACCCGGCCTTGATCTGACCCCGGCTTAGTCAAGAGATATTTTGGTGGACTTTGTTTCAGATCAATTTGTTGAGACTTTATAATTTGAAATTCAAATTATATTTAAACACACGCGAAAACTGCATTGCTGTTTACACGTAAATCAAGACTCAAGATATGAAACAAAAGGCAGAAATCCGCTTGCGTTGCTAGGAGAGGAACCTAGGAGCCAGCCAAAACGCTTCCATTTCTCGACAGCAGATTAATAGTAATCCCGCATTAGGAATTAGCGAAGGTTTCATTCCAGATCTTACGCTAACCCTTACCTATATTACGCTATATTTATACTTGAAACTAAATGATCAATGCAGAATTATTAATTAACAAGAGACCTAATCTGAAGGATAATACTACAAGGGAGGTTTATGTTCTGAGACCTTCTAATCCTGCTTTGCCTTGTACACATTCCTTCACGGTTTTATACGCATGTCATAAATTCATTTATACTCATTCGTTCCCCGACTCTATTCTTTGGAATCCTATCAATTTATATTAATTATCTTATAATAATTATTTTTGGTTTGCGAATAGCAAAAATTGAGAAAAAAAATACATCAAAGTGAAATAAATGTAACATCATTATTATTTTTGTCATTCATCCTTCACTCTGATGATGATCAAACAGATCGAAAACCTTAATTTATATTTTACTTTTATCGGCCAAATGTGTTTTTATATTGTTATTGAAGTATTTTTGGACAGGCGTTTCTTTTGTAAGAACGCGGAGAGACTGGGTTGATTCACGAGACAGCCAACATGGCGGTAGGTATTGCTTTAGCGAGGTGTAACTCGAAATCATCATGGACGATTTAATTTTACACATTTCTGTTTCTTCGTTAACAGGCCAGTGAGATGACATTCTTAGTCAAATCTGAGTGTTTCAGTGGAGGCACAGTGACGAATAATGAAAACCGTCTAGCGATAAGTGTAATTTTGTAATCTTGTTTCTTTGTGTTCCGCAATCCTGTGAATTTTTTCGTTGGTAGCGTACACGTGTGTTCGTTAGTACTGTTGTTTGTTTGTATTCCTGTGTCGTACTTTATGTGTGGTGTAATTTGTAGTATTGTATAAATCTTCAGAGCGATGATTAAACCCGAGAAATGAGCGTCAAACGTTATAAGTTTGATAGTGATTGTATACACTTGATTTCTGAGCTCTGTATATAAGCTTACATGATTAACAGGATCAGGACATTTTGTACTTAAAGATGATTTCCAGTCCGTACTGCGCAGTCTCAGCACCCTAATCTTTATAACCATGATAAATCTCACTTGATGGAATGTGAATCGATGCTATTCGTTACAAACCACATACCTTATCTTTGAGGCCTTTCAAGTTATTTTTCCAACAGCTTCATTGATTTTTACAGCTGCAAAGATGTTTTGTCAAGTGATATTACAAAGAACAAAGCATAAAGTTTTGACTGCTTTGCATCCATAATGGCAGTTGTTTTGGAACTTTGAATTTACTTCATGTGAGTAGTTGCAAAATGTTTACCTTCTGTGATATCTTACATGAAACAAAACAAAAAATGCAAACAAACTCTCAAGAGTGTGCAGTACGGACTGGAAATCATCTTTAAGATTGTTTGATATGTAGAATGGAGTTGAGTTTTGGCCCCTTAGAGGAGCTCATTCATGGTATTTTGAGTCATTTTGGCCACATGCACAAGTACCTTTCAATTGAAGGAAACCTGAAAATAATAGTTTACTAAGATTGAAAACCACCAAAGAGACTGTAATAAACCATAAAGGAACAAGGATGGTTAAAGTGGCACTATGACGAAAATCGCATCTTTCTTAGCGAAGCCAGTTTAAAACATAAACAAGTGGCCTGTATGAGAAGAAAAATGCTGTTTACTATTTTTAAATATCTCTTTTCGTTCCAGAGATATTCAAGTTTTTAAAATATGCAAATTAGCCCAGTGATGACGTCATACACTCGACCAAATTTTGATCAAATATGATGAAAAAAGATATCTCAGCCAATTTTTATTGGAAATGTTTGATTCTTTGCAGTATGATTCTACTAAATGTGCTCCACAATAGGAGCTTAACAGTTTTGTTACCATGGCAACATACTGGGTTCCAGACCTCCCTGATATTAAAGGCATTTCTGGCCACCTTTGGCATTCCATTTTGATATTTGCAAATGGTACCTCATATGCATGATCCAGCAAGCATATAAATATGTTAGCTCAAGTTTGTGGCCTCATTTAATGTTTTGTGAGCTGAAAATCACTAACATATTGAAATCAAGTGGGTGGGGACTGGAAAAGAGTGAGTTGCCATGGGAACAGAATTTTTTATAGCTGTAGCTGTGTTTCCTGTATAACTATTTGCCTACCAAGTTTCAGTGGTCTGTGCTGCAAATTGGCCAGGATAGCTCTATTTATATACTTGATATAAAATTGGGTTGAGTGTGTGATGTCATCAATCATCTGATTTGCATATTTTACACATTTTTCAAACTAAAATATCTCCAGGACTAATGCAGATATTTGCAAACAGTAAACGGCATTTTTATTCTTTCATGGAATTCTATGTGATACACCTAAAAAAAATCGAGGGGTAAAAATTTGATCATAGTACCACTTTGGAGAAGTCGAACACAGATTACAAACAAGGAACTTGAAAAATTTACTAGGTTACACTTTTCAAGTAGTGCAAACCGTGATTTAGCTCCTTTAAAAGAAAAATCACAGTTTGTCTGGGCTGTGTAAGTAGATGTAAACATTTTTGATAAAGGGTATGGGTGTCTCAACCTGCCTGAAGTCTGTGTTCGTTTAACTTTTGGTTGACCTTATCTTGCCTGTTTCTTTGTATAATTTGTAAGCAAAGAAAACATTTTCAGCTTCAGGAAAGAGATACTAAATGGACAAGTGAAACATTTTAGCGGAAAGTAGTTTTTATTCCAGTGATGATTCTTATGGTAGATATTATGGTTTGAAGTCAAGTGCAAGAGAGTTCATAATTTGTTGCATTTGTCACTCGTTCAAAGCAGCTTTAACCTAACACTCATGCGTCATCCATGGACAAAAGATAGATCACAATTAGGAATGATGTGGTTAGAGGTTTAAAGAGAGAGTCTATGATTAATGGTCAAGGTAAAAGTGAGGACAAAAAAATGAGATTTTTAAAATGAAAAGAATGCATTGAAATTTGTGATCTTTTATTTAGAAGTGGAACTTGGCTTGGAGAACTGAAGTAGATATGAATTTTTCAGATGCTCTAGATTATTCTGCCAATTTACACTAGCTCTTCTTACATTTATGGTTACCTGTAGCTGTGTAGCCTTCTTTTTCATTATTGGTTTGGGAAACATTACTAGGAACAATTGTTTTTGTGGTCAGAAGGACTTACATTAAGTTGCATAAATCCTATTTCTATACAATTTACTGTTGGAACATAATCTTTAAACCATCTCATGTATAATCCAGAAACCTTTTGCAACCCTTGAGGGCTGGTCAATGATTCTTGTAATGGTTGTTATTAAAAGATGTTGGATTTTGTATTCCAAATGTCACTTCCTCATTTCCTTGGTTGAGTCAAGTAACTCCAGTCTTTCTTCTCAGATGGAAGGCAGGTTTGTGAAGATTATACTGTTAATAGCGGCAAAATATATGATTCTGTGTAGGAGATAAAGGAGTATGTGGCATACTCTCCTTACGAATCCTGCGGGTTGTTGTCTTGTGTAAAGCTTTGACTTCATCACTGTCCAACCTTTAAATAGTGATTGATGTTTAAGAGAGGTAGCTTTGCTTGTTGTTCTATAGAAGATTTCCGTACAGTTCTTTGTGATGGGAACCTCGCTATGGACTGTCGTCTTTGCCAGAGTGTGCTTGTGCTGTTCATACTCTGTGATACAAATTCAGCAAGTTAACGCTACGAAATTCAAAAACCATGTCGAGGTTATGAAGTGACTGATGCCCTTATAATGCCCATCTCCAGCAGCTTCAAGATACTTTATAGTTATATACCCATATGCACCTTTCATTTGTGGTGTCTGTAATAAGTTTTTTTTACATTTTTACAATTGCCTGTTACTTTTCTGTTAGTATTAAGACTAGTTTTTGATTTGCAGCTCACCGGTAACTGTGTCGATTCACTGTGTTCAGCCTCCCTAGAGACTTCCACAGGGGCTTCTTTCTTCTCTTTCTCCTGTCGCACTGAATGCCGATCAACTCTTCCTTTTATTTGTAATCCAGTGGGTAGGGATGGTAGTGCGACTGAGTGTGCTGTCAGTGGGAAGTAAAAGTCTTGGGAGATTGCTGGTGGAATACCTTGACTTTGTCTGGTGTAATGGCTAAATGGAAAAAAAAAATAACAAGGAATTGAAACGTGATTTTAGGGCACACCATAAAATTCTGATAATAAGCTCTTTTATCCCTGAAAAGATGCTCTTCCAAAGATAACCCCCAAAATTTGTTAGATAATACCCAATGATATCAGCACTGGACTTTTGTTACAGTTGTATGGTCTGAATAATAATCTGCCCCTCGTACAAAATTGATGATGATGATGATGATGATCATGATAAATAATTTTTTTATACAAAAAAAACTTATTGAGCGCATTCAAATTCTTCACTAAAACTTTACGTGATAATTATTTACAGCACAAAACTATTTGCAATCACAGTTCTAATAAAGTCGTTCAAAAAGGAAGCCAAATTGAATAAAATTGAGAAGAGCTGAAAACTGGAATGACTTGCTTAAAATGTCAAACGTAACAAAAGTATTTGCGGTTTGTGTCATTGATTGAACGCAAGAAGTAATAAAAAACAAAAGAAAATTACTCAATAATAATGATAATAATAATAGTAATGATAATGATGATGATAATGATAGTAATAATAATAATAATAATAATCTTATATCACGTAGATATGAATGAATAATTTTTAGATGGATAAAAGAACAATTCTCTAGCGATTATCACGTGGTCTGTAACGGGAAAACAAACCGCCCAAGTTTAAGAGTATTGTGAAAGTATGCGGCCTAGGGATATGTACAAGGCAGCGTCTTCAGTAAAAAAGCTTTTTGCCCTAGGCTTAGACCCAGGATGGAGGAACTCCCATAAAAAAAAAAAAAAAGAACCACGGTGCTCGTCGGAAATTTTGAAAAAAAACCCTAAGAGATACCAAGAAACTGTATTGTGAGCGTGGCTTGAATTTTTTTTTTCTCCCCTAACAGGTATCAATTCTAAAAGAACATTAGCTGACACTGACTTTTTTCGGCTCAATATCCTAAAAGGTACGACAAGCACCCCTGTTCTTTTTACATGGGAGTCCCCCACGGGGATTTACATACGTTTGTATTTCATCCGCTTCAGGAAAGATATTCCGTAAATCTTCAATCCTAGCGTCAACGTGTAACACTTTGTCCAAGACTGCTTTCTGTCTCATCAACAGCTGTTTTCGTGACCAATTCTTGACTTTACCGCGCTTCTTCATCTTACTCTGTGAGGTTGAGGTTGGAACAGGCTCCGCAGTCTTGGGCCCAGCCCCCTGAATCATCATCATTCCCCCACGGGACAGCCCCGCCATCGCTATAGATCTCCCGCGTCCAAACGTCTGAAAGCTGGATCCTTGTGGAATGAGTGGCGGGAACAGAGTAGATTCCTAACAGAGAGCGAACTTGGTTACTTGTCTAGAGAGTTTGAATAAGAATGCTGGAAACTCACTTATCAGTTAAATTTTCGGTCATTCCTCACTTATTAGTTAAAATTTCAGCCCATTTCTTCCTAATCAGAAATCTTTGCTGATCTTAGATTTTGGCTATCCGTAAAAAAAAAGCTTCAATTCGCGCATCAACTTTTGAGGAATTCTTGACCCTAATCGTAAAGAGGTCCAGATCAGATTATTTTTACTGTGTAAAAGATACGTACTATCATGATTTGACCAGTAGGTATGAACTCCATATAATCCGTTAGACGCTCATAGACGATTATAACAAAATTAAATTATTGCTTCTATGTTTTGTGGTCTTGTTTTTCGTTCTTTCGCAAATCAAGCTCAAGATATTCAAAACCCAAAAATGTTCAAATGTTGTTTATAGTGGTCAATGCGCTTAGCTACACTTAGCTAGTTCACAGGCATGCCACTTAAACTGAAAGAAACAAATATATCAACTATAAAATATAATAGGCTTAAAAATCGCAAGTGGCGGAAGGCAGACCAGTGTAGTACTCCTGTTGGCTTCATCGTTATAAAGTAGCTTTGTTGTCGGTTCGCGACCGAAATCCAGAACTGATTACGAATAACATTACAACGAGTTCGTAAAGTCAATCTTACCTCAGTTTTGATGGCATCATTTTCCCTGAATCAGCAAAGTGAAAATAGAACAAAAACAAGCATGGAATGATAAGTTACCTGACGGGTAATTGCCAGCGTGGGCCAAGCAACATTATAGACCCTTTTCATAAATGGCTGCCAATTATAAATTCTTTCGTAAGTATTAAAATTAGCCTGACTAACCTCGTTCTTGAGTTGATAATTCAAAAGAATTTTTACTCCCGAAGAACTTTAAATTGGCAGCCATTTATGAAAAGGGTCTATGGTTTAAGGTAATTTGGGGTGCCAGTTTGCTGGTACATATTTTAATGGCAGTTTCTGGTTAAGAAATCATCTCGCGGTTGCAGGAAATCAAAAATTTAGCTCGCGGTTTTCGGTTTTTGTGTTTTTGTTGCGGTCTGGTAAAGGTGATGTAAATTTCACAAGTACAGACAACACAACCAGGCCTCCAAACTTGTCCTTTTACGCTGAACAACCCACCGGACGTTAAAGGATCAGTTGTCATGATTTTCGTCCTACCACTACCAGTAGGGCGGTTTCGGTTTTTAGAAGAAAACGAGAGCGATGTTTAGTTTCGAAGGAACAAAATATTACGGTTTGCAGAACAAACAACCTCCTTATATAGTAGACCCTTTATATGTATAGAAAAAATTTTCTTGTGAGTGGTCAGTAATAAAGCGTAGAGAATGAGTTCGTTTTTTAATCAGTGTACTGAGCACAGCAAAGACTTAGTGTGACAACAACAACAATAAACAAACAAACAAAACAACCCAACCAAAAAACAAAAAAAATAGAGCGCTGGAAAACAGAAGGGAAGTGTAGTTTTTTGTTTTTTGTTTTTGTTTTTTTTTTGTGCCATCAAGCCCATACAGATCTAGAATGCGTATATCCTTTCCTGTGAAACAAAAAAGAACATCTTGATTATTTACCTTTCATTTAGCGTCGTTAGAATCTCGATAAAGAACAAAACAATACGCCATTAGTTTGGATTCAACATGCTGTATAAATCACATAACGAAAAGGTAACCACGCCTGCGTGGTGCTTTCGTCGACTAAGTTCATGTATCTTACTTTTACTCCAATGACTGGCACGTCATCGTTTCTGTCCAGAACAGTGGTTGGTCGTTTCTCCTGAAAGAAAATCACAAGAAATCTGGAACATCATGTGGATGTCGCGACAAGAAACTTTCGGACAGACAAGAACTATCCTACAGAATAATACATGGCCAATACCATGTTAAAAATAAACAGCATAACTTTTTTTAATTTATTGTTTCATTCAAGACAATATGCCCCGTTTGTTTGACTCCCTTTATGAGCCTGATTTACTTACATCTCTGTACTCCTGCCAAAGCCTGTAGAATTTCTCGTACAAAGTTAGCTGTAAAGTAGAGGAAATTGTGATAAATGAAATGTCTAGTTATGCGAGTGGGAAAGATTCCGGGGGGGGGGGTACTCCCTATAAACTCTTGGTCTTTGGCCATTATAGCTTGATTAAAAATATAAACAAACAGCGGTGATAAACATTTTAAAAACATGCATTTTATGAACTTAACGTTTCGTATGCTAGTCAAGATACATTTTCAAAAGTATAACCGTTAAAATTTTTTGGAAAGCTATTTATACTGTAATGTATAAATCCCATTGTGTCACTTTACAGACAGTTTCCGTTTGTAAACGTCTTAAATTTCTACTGCAGATGTTTTTCTGTTTAGGTTTCCCAAAAATTTTAACGGTTATACTTCTTGAAAATGTATGTTGACTAGCATAGGAAACGTCAAGTTCATAAAATGCATGTTTTTAAAATGTTTATCACCGCTGTTTGTTTTATATTTTAATCAAGGCCTATCTAGTTATGTGCGGCCCCAAAGGGTATGGTTTTTGAGCAGAGTTGGTCTGAAAAAGGGTATCCTCTCACTCTAGCTTGGAATTGAGTATTTTGTTTACAAGGAAATATTTTTTTCGGTACTAAAACGACGGGCCAATATTCCCCAGTGCGGCTCGAGCAAGCTAGGTTAGTAAGTAATGTTATTATGTGGCACACCGTGGAAGTTGCAAATTTTGAATTTCCGGCTTTTGAAAACGAAAAAGGCGTGGCTTATGAAAACGGTCCGAGTGGCAACCAAGAAAAGACTAGTCAGAACGCTCGAATTTATCTCAAGACTACCTCGGCGTATAATAATACTGCATACAGACCCAGGCCGCTCGGGTGGGTCTGGAGCCCAGGTTTCCTCGCGTTTGATAGGGTCATTAAAAACTCTTTTCAATGATTGAAATTGCCATTTTATCCTGGGGTACTCCCTTATATGGGATATATACGTATGTGCGGCCCCAAAGTATAGGGTTTTTCAGCCGTTTTGGTCATAAATAGAGTATCGATTTTGTTCATGTTGGTCTCAAATAGGGTATGGTTTTAGCACTCTATTCTTGAATTGGTT